CAGAAATCCATCACGACGACCTTCTAAGGATATGGTCTGTTTCACTGTACTTAGTGGGAGACGAGAGCGGGCACAGAAAAGCAGTGTCTTGGCCTGGACAAACTGATTCTATCGGGCTACATCAGCTATTACTATCATCTATCAGCTATCACTACTTTTTCCTGTTGCACCAAGAATTCCAAGTAACCGGAAGGGGTAAGGAGATCCGAGTAGTGGTAGCACGGCACGGCGTTGAAAGTGTCTATGCGCTACTTCTCGTGCAATATAGGCAGCAGCGAAGATCAATCATGTCTAGCTGCACGTGCGGTGGACTAGTTTCTGCAAGACACCGCAACGCGAACTTCCTGACCTACACCCAACTACACAAAGTTGAGATTTCTCAACGTTGTCCATGGGGTTCACGCCAGGTGGTTTGCCGAGCCAGGGCGCCTCTATTCGGTAATCACGCGGAAATCGCGCGGCTGGTGCTTCAAACATGCGCTGCGGTGCGAACGGAACCATGAACCGAACCGCGCTCGATTTCCGCGTGAACTCGTCCAAGCGTGGGCGTACCTGTCGACATGCCCCGCCCATGTGTGCTTCCCGCCACCAACTGCCTGAATTTTTTTTACCGAGATCGAGAAGCGTTTCAACATTTTTCAGGTACGTATCCCTGATTCCTTCATTCGTTCTTGGACTTGTCGATTCTGCCCTGATGATATTCGCTAGTGAAAGTATTAACAGGTAGTAACCCTGTAAATATGGTCGTAATGTAACAAGTCAAAGAGCGCCCTATGTTGGCTGGTTATCGCTAAGTCACTGAAGGACAGAGTGGGGTGTGGCCGAACCTCTTTCACTGCCCTTCCGTCAATGACGTTAGTGCTAATCGCCTGCCCACCAGCCATCGTATCTACTGTCTTTGAAGATAACTCAGGTTACGTTCCCCAAACTCCTTCTTTGTAGCTCATTCGCTGCTGTCTACGGTATGTCGATCATGAGTGCAGCTGCACTTGGTAATATCGCTACAAGTATTGTGCTGTTACAAACGCAAGTTCACTTTGGACACCTCATCGAACGATTCGGACTCAAGTAATTTCTGAAAAGAGATTGTACTACTACTGTAATGCATATCTAATGGACCCATGTGAACTCGTGTACCTTTCTCCTTTCCACTCGTGGGGGGGGGGGGGTGTAGCGTTGTGTCATTGACCTCAATGGACTACCCAGTTCAGAGCCGGTGACCGGATTGAG